CATTGCCAATCTGCACAAGGATGACTATTTTGATTACAGCAAGTTCTGTGGTCCTTGGCTCATTCCTGACTTCCTGTTCTGTTCCCTTCTTTTGTCTAGTGATGTCCCTAAGCACAGTGCTTGTGACGTTAGTGTGGGCAAGGCTCCTTACCAGTCTATTCTGGCTGTTCTCACGTGTTTAAAATTTCCAGATAAACTAGAGAATCGTTTTAGCAGAAGAATAGAAGTAACAAAATACAACAAGAAAAAGGAAGGGAAGAATGTCACTAGAATGTGTGATTTGTGTTGCTTATCACTTAAGGGAATTTGTTTCTTTATAATATTAAGAGTCAAAGGGCAGATATTTGTTTAGTACAGTTACTATAATTTTTATGTCATTCATGTATTTTAAGATTGTATTTCATATACTTTGTCCCTTTCTTGAAGTTACTCTGGATGACATATTTGGGCAGAGTCAACTGGGGTGTGGCTTGATAGTAAACATGGTGATAGCGGATGCCGACCTTCCCACAGGATCTTCAGTTCAGGCAGATTCTCAGTCGTCCTTGAGCCTTTGCTTCCTCAGAACTGAAGTGGAGACAGCAGGTGCTCTAAGTTCCCAGAGCTGTTCGAGGACTCCTGAGGTGCTGTCAAGCAGACGATTAGCATTCACGGAGCACAAGTACTCCCTGTTGCTGTGATGGCTGTGGCGGTCCGTATTGAACACTCTCTTCCATTTTATTTTCATATTGATTAATGTTTTGTGGGAAACGTAATGTGTTAGGCTAGTCCCTGCCTTTCTAATGATCTTTTCATATTGCTCCAATGACTTTTAGTTGCTTATTTTGAGTTTTCTAGCTAAACCATTGTAGCATTTTTCAGTAGTAACTGATGTATTTCTAATTGGAATAACTCTTCCCCCATTGCACCAGTGAGTGCTTCTATGACTTTAAATAATTCACTATGGTGACTGCTGTACTTATTTCAGATGCTCGGATCTCTAAGCCCAGAGGCTTGTCTCTCTTATCTTTCCTTGGAGTATTCGAGAACGTCTGTTGCTCCTGGTCTCTCCCTTTCTCTTTTTTGGTGTTTCTTTGTTTTTCTTTCTGGGAATACTGGCTATGTGGGAACAGTAAGTAGCTTGTTACGTGCCCTTGGATCACGCTGAATTTCAACTTCTTTCTTTTGTGTGTGGCTGTTCTGAGCTGTCTGCAGTAGCTTTCAGCCTAAGGCTAAGGCAGGTGTTCACAGCGAAGTCCAAGTCAAGGGAACTTGTGCAACCTACCCCAAGGATGTGTCACTAGTGCCCGGGAAAACAGCCAGCCCACCCCAAGGGTGTGCCTCTAGTGCCTGTGAAAATGTCTAACCCACCCCAAGGATGTATCACTAGTGCCCGGAAAAATGTCCAACCCATCCCAAGGATGAGTCACTAGTGCCTGTGAAAATGGCCAGCCCACCCCAGGTACCCGGGAAAACGGCCAGCCCAGTTTAAAAAGTGTTCTCATTCTTAGCACATCACCGTTTCTTTTTTTTAAGTTAATTTTTTTTAGCTTTTATTGTATGTGCTCGAGTGTTTAGTCTATGTGTGTGTGTGTGTGTGTGTGTGTGTGAGTGTGTGTGTGTGCTATGTGTGTCCCCGATACTTTCGATGTCAGAAAGAGGAATTTGGATTCCCTGACCTGAAGTTTGGGATGGTTGTGAGCCACTGTGTTCTGGGTTCTGGAAGCAAACCCAGGTCCTCTGCAAGAACCAGTGCCCTTGAGTGCTGAGTCATCACCAGCCCAATGTCACCGTTATTTTTTCATTATACTTGTTCATTCTTCACTCATAAGTTACATCACCATGCAGTTTCTCCCTTCCTTTCCTCCCAGACCCACCCCCACTTCCCCTCTTCCCCAGATCCACTCCTCTTCTGTTTCCCTTCAGAAAAGAGCATGCCTCCCAAGAGTATCAACCAAACTTGACATAACGAGACACCTACCCTCGAACCAAGGCTGGATGAGACGAGTAGGAGGAAAAGGGCCCCAAAAGCAGGTAGAAGAGTCAGAGACAGCCCCCACTCCCATCGTTAGGAGTTCTGCCAGGAGGGGGGACTCCTTCACCCAATGGCCTTTGAGATGATGGCCCACGGTGAGTGTGCTCTTGGGTACTTTATATGCAGACGTAGAGGTGTGGGTTCCTATCGCAACCTCATGCAGAGGACTGCTGATCTGTGAGTCTACCTCTACATAAAGAGACCTTTATTCTACTCCATTCTGAGCTAGTGTGGAACTGCTTCATTGTAATCAATGACATTGTTCCACAAGGACATCAAGCTACATGGTCATAATATCTATGCAGAGGACCTAGCTCAGACTCCTATAGGCTTCCCGGTTGTCAGTTCAGGCTCTGTGAGCCCCTATGAGTTCTGCTTAGTTGATTCTGTGGGCCATTCTCATGTGTTTCAAGGGGATACTGTAGTAGATTGTCAAGTTAGTGGGGTCAGATTTCTTGTCCCTGACATCAGCCTCTGACCTTCGCAATCTCTGAGGGGCAGGATGCGTGCACACGTGCGCTTGTATGGTTGGCAGCTTTTCAGGAAATTCTCTAAAGGGGTCTGAATTGAATGCATTCCCTGGGGTCCCTTCATAGAAGACAAATTAAGGTTCAGAATAGGCGTATGAAAGATAACATCTGTTATAATTATATTAAAAGAATTGGTGATTTAACAGACTCTTTAGAATATGGTCAAGTTTCAAGGTTATTGTTGTGAATAATACTCATTGCAGAACAGAACATTCACTCTGCATTTAAACTTCCCTGTTTATATTTAGACAAATGGGTACTTGGAAGACATCCCAGAGAGGGGAATGCGAGCCTGATTACCTCTGCTAATTTGTCCTTTCTTTAGATCGTTTTATCAAACAGATTCATGTTCTGATGACCCGATGGCATGGTTCTCAGAAAGAGTTTAGAAAAATACACAGAATGCATCAAAAGGAATGTTTGTCACCAGTCCCGATCACTGATTGAGCATTGACAATTTTGTCTTTACCACAAATCACATTAAAATAACAGAAAAGGGAACTTCGTTAAATGTACAAACTCACAAGGACGGGAAAGCAAGAGGACAGACAAAGCACCTTAGAAGCTGGAAGCGGCACAGTGATAGAGGGAGCAGATGTTTCTGTGATGGGCTCTCCGAGTCCTTGCAACAGATGTTTCTGGACGTTGGAAAGCAAAGAAGCCAGTACTGTCTGTGTTAGTTGAATGCCATTTGAGAAGCAGGTACACTTTACCTGGCAGATATCTGGAAGCACTTACCTTGTGGAGAGGACTCAAAACAGTTGATAATAGGGAATTAGGCTGCCTCACTAGAATAGGGTGGAGGGGCCACTTCCTGAGAACTCATGGTCCCCAGTCTCTTCCTCCCCACCCAGTCTCTAGTGCAGTGTCAAAAAGACAGTCTACTTCCCTGCTGCCCCACAAGGGAAACGCCTAGGACGGCAGTGGAGTGGGATCCCAGATACAGACGCTAGTCAGTGCAGATGTGGCTGAATTGGATATGAGCTTCTAAAGAGGTTTCTGCAGAGAGGCAAATGCAAAGACACGGGCTCACTGCATAGCCTGGCAGGATTTGAACTTGCTAAGTAGGCCAGACCGGCCTTGAACTCAAGGAGAACTGCCTGCCTATGGTCTCCTAAGTGCTGAGATTAGAGGTGTGTTCCACTCTGCCAAGCCACAAGATATGTCTTCACTTCTTGAGCAAGTAGGGTAATTGGTAGGTAGTATTGGATTGGTAGGTAGTAATTGAATTAATTATGAAAAAAAATCTAAGATTCTCATTTAACTCAGATCAAACAACATGCAAGAAAGAAAATCAATTAAGTGAAATCCATAGTTTCATTCTGAATATTATTTATCATTACTGTAATATAAATAATTGATTCAACCAAAACTACAGGATAAATATATTTGCAGGGTGGGATGGCAGTAAGGAATGATGCACTTGTCTTGGGTGATGTGGGGGGCGTGGAGGGCCTGACTAGGGCAAAGAATTTCAGATCGTCCCATGCCTTTGGGACAGACAACACCTAATACCTAAGCAAATTGGAGGGCGTGCTTGGGACCATGTGATGCTCATAAAATCATCCACAGAAAGAATTGATTAGAAAGTTGCTGACATGCGAGAGAGAAGAAAGACAGGCAGTCTTCATAGTAAACACTTTTACTTATTTAGTTGGTTAAACGGCCTCAGTGTAATTTTCACAGGAATACAAAAGTAAAACAGGAACCCCTGCTGCTATCGTTTTACCATACCTAAGTGTGTACAGACACATGTGTGTGCGGTGTGCACAGAAGCGCATGTGCACTCTTCCTTGGAGCATGAGCGTTCGGTCAGAGAGCCTGCTGGGCCTATATCATCATGGTGGGGAGCATGGCAGCAGTCAGGCTGGCGTGGCACTGGAGCAGTAGCTAAGACCTTATATCTTAAGACACAGCCATGGGGCAGAGAGATCCTGGGAATGGCCTGGGCTTTTCAGACCCCACAGCCTGTCCCCAGTGGCACACCTCTACACACCTCCTACTGCTGCCCAAACAGTTCCTCCAGCCGGGAACCAAATATTCAAACATGTGAGCCTGTGGGGGCCATTCTTCTTCACCACATTGGGAAACTTGTGGATTGTTTTTACCACAAAAACAATGTGCCGGGTGTTAGTCTACGTTTAGTTGTGTGATTAGTAGGACCTTTAAGACGCTTTCGGGCCAGGAGGAAGTGGTTATTATCCAGCTGTGATCATCACAAATAAAACTGAGAGCAATTTAAAGCTTCATTTTTATCGGTGAGACCTGGCATGTAAGTGTTCCATTTATAATATAGCCCAAGTAGTAATTTGGTTGACAGTGTTTGCGGCTGTGATATTGTACTCATTTCTGACGCAGAAGTGAAGTTACAGTGGAAAATGACAAAGGTATTCTAGAGATCTGTGAAGATACTTTAAAATTCTTACTTTCTGTCATGTTTAATGTTCGGACTCCAGAGAGGCTGTATGCTGTGGAACGGTGCCCGCGATCTGACTGCTTCATTCTCTTGCCTGAAGGAGGAAGACAGTGGTCCCAGGGAGCCTTTGGGTGAGGAGTGGAGACTCCTGAGTGCAGCTTCGTTTTAACCCTCCAGCCTGCATCGTCTCCGGCTGCTCCAGCTTTGATGGACATCTGTGACCATTGTCTGCATGCACACTGTTATGAACAAGTAGAAGTGGCTATTCAATGTAAAGAAACTCGGTGTGTGTGCGCACACGCCACAGCTTCTGGTATTCAGACTTTTGCACATACTGCTTCTTGCTTATGTGTAGAAAGAATGAAAGTAGTTTTCAGACCTATTAATATGACTGTACCATATATCAATATGAGACAGAAGAAACCCTCCACATTTCCAGAGCCAAGTTGTTCATTTCCTGTCTGTATTAAAAAACATGCCCATCCCCAACCTAGTGTCATTCGTGAAAATAAAATAAAAGTTTTAGTCTACAACAGCCTAGAACTTCAAAATATAACATGAAGGAGTCATAAAAATTATCTTGTGTGTTTTTTCTAACAGTCATACCAAATTTAATATCAAACTGGTTTGTTACAGAGAACAATTTTGGAATTAATGCAAAAATACTTTATACATTATTTTTTAAAAAATTAATTGAATTTAATATAGTTAGAGCATATATGAAACTATGGCTTCTGCGAAGTTAAGAATAACTTAAGAAGTAAATAGGAAGGAAGACGGGCACAGTGATAGCTTTGTTTTCCATAATAGAAATAAAATTCAATGATATACTATATCAATTTAGTATTGGACACTTTGTATGTCTTCAGAATACTTTATTCTATAGGTTGCACTTCTGTGTTGAGGTAAGATAGGGTTGACCATAGCCTGTTTTTAAGAGTGGCTGTCCATTAATCACATCTCAAGTCATAGTTCAATGTGACAGAATGGTGTAAAGCAGGAGAGATACTGACAGAAAACAAGAACTTAAGAAATAAATGTTATTGGTGGTTATACTTTTTGAAAAAACAAATGGCCAATAGCAGTCTCAGTTTGGAGGGATTTGTTGGTGGTAGGTAGAATAAGGTCCTCTTCAGGGGTTTTAGATCTGTTTGGTAGGCTGCATTAATGGAAACAATACAAATAAAACAGTACAAGAGGCCTCCCAGAAAACAGAAGCAATGAAGACTTTGCTTCAGTGTAGAGTCCCAGGCAAGAAGGAAGACTAGAGCCATGGTCCTGAGGAAAGTGGGAGATGAGAAGGCTCAGTAGACCCAGAATACAGCTGAGTAGCCCCAGGCAGGGCCTCCCATGGCACAGAGAGGTCCTGGATACTTTCTTTTTGCAGTTTTTAGTATTTGCTAAAATCGAAATGGCAAAGTATAGGTTAAATCAACAAATAGAACAACCCTACAATCTAAACCTTTGCATTGTCCAGGCTGGCGTTATGAGATGTATTCAGCCACAGCTGCAGGGATGTCATAGTTAATGGACTGAATCTGAAGGCTTTCATGCTTCAGTCAAATAGCACACCTGGCGCTTCTTCGGTAGATCAGTGCCTGGGACACAATCATGCATAGCCATCAGTGTCTCCACTCCAACAGGATGGCCTTGGACTTGAGGTTCTTGGTTTTCATGTCTCATACTTCCTGAAGTCTCTACCCATCTGACCCCACAACGTATAAGGTGGAAAATATAATGACAAAAACTAATATAATTGACTTCCAGAGTGATATCTAGCTGTCTCATGCTTATCCTATAGTGCAAGGTAAAAATTTCATGAAGCAACCAAATTGATTTTCTGAGTACTTTTTAAGTGACCACTTAAGATTAGTATCCATGGCTTAATACTCTCTATATTCTTTGTTTCTCTTTTTAATATGTTTATTTATTTTGAGAGAAGTTCTCACTGTCTAGTCTCGACTGTCCTGCATCGATCAGACTGGCCTTAATCTCACAGAGATCCACCTGACTCTGCTGGAATTAAAGGTGTGTGCTACTAAGCCCAACCGATTTTCATATATAAAGAACACCTTCAAGCGCTAATTGCCATTGATTCAGAATAGAAACACTTGTGTGTTTGTATGAATGAATTTGAAAGTCTCATTTGTTCATCAATAAAACTGTCAGTAAATGTTATCAGATCTGTATTACTCTGATGGTGAGTGGGGAAGAAAATCAAAAGTTACGCCATGGGACCTGCAGTTGGAGGTGGTCTTCTGGAGCAGAAGTGAAGGTGGATGTTAACCTGGAATATACGGGGAATTTCACTAATCTTGAGGTTTAGAGTAAAGGCAACAAACTGAAGTGCCTCCCACAGAGCTTTCACATCTGACTTGTGGTCATTCATGAACCTAGTGGTGTGTGAGGGGCTACTGATCTCAGAAGGTTTGTCAGCCAAGATAATGTCAGTCTTGCACTTGGAAAATATGCGTGTGTTGGCATGTGTGTGGGTATGCACGTGTCACAGCGTGCATGTGGAACAACTTCGATGAACAGACTCTGTCTTTCCACCGTGGGGATCCTGGGGATGGAATCGAACTTAGGTCGTCAGGCTTGGCAGCAAGTGCCACCACCACTGAACCCTTCCGTTGTTGTTCAGTCTATCCAACGGCTCACCAATGCTCTTCATTCTTCCAAAGAACCCAAGTTTGGTTTTGATGTTTTTCTCTATTGTGCTTTTGACGTAATCTTTATTTTCCTTCATTACTTGATGCATTCTGTGCATTGTAAGCTCTGCTCTTTCCATTATCTTAAGGGCTGAGATCAAGTTATTTATTTGAGATTTTTCTGTTTTAAATCAGGACATTTACTGTAGTGAGTTTCCCTTGAGCATTTTTAGCAGCGGTTATAGAGCCTGAAATGATACTTGTACATGTTCACTCACTCCGATGTATTCTCTCCAATTTGCACTTTTAGATTGAACCTAATTGTCATTTAGAAGTGTGGAGAGAGAAAGGAACAGGAAGTAGAAGGGAGAGATATTCAGATGGAGTTTGGGGTTTATATATATATATATATATATATATATATATATATATATTTAGAAGGCATAGGAGAAGGAGGGCAGGCTTCAGAGATGTCTGCTGAGGAGGGAGGTCAGTTGGGTGCTTTCTTTGCCTTTCTGAGCTCTCTCACCTTTGTATATGGCTCCTGAGCCTTATTTATTTATTTATTTATTTATTCATTTATTTTGATTTTCAAGACAGGGTTTCTCTCTAGTTTTTGAAGCCTGTCCTGGAACTAGCTCTTGTAGACCAGTCTGGCCTCAAACTCACAGAGATCTACCTTCCTCTGCCTCCCAAGGGCTGGGATTAAAGGCTTGCTCCACCACCGCCCGGTCAGCTCCTGAATCTTTATTGGTAAAATAGAACAATGGAGATTTTGTTAAATACATCACTTTCTGGGATTTTGTTTTAAGTCCGAAAGTCTCACATGGCTATTGTGGATATAATTTTCTATGATTTAATATAGTAAATTACTTTAAATGTTATGTGAGCCATTCTCCTTTGAATTTTTTCAAGTGAGTAAGCACAGTTTTAAAAAGTGTTTTTCAAATATCATTATGAAGGAATGCATGAGAAGAGATAGTATATATGCACACTAAAGTTTTATTCAGCCACAAAGAAGAATAAAATTTTTCCATTTGACTAAAAATGACTGGAATTGAAGACCATCATGTTAAGCACAATAAGGTGGGCCTCCCAAAGAAAACTGTCCCATGATTGATTTCTTTCATATGTGGCATCTGGAGCCAGGAGGAAGGACACGAGTCAAGGAAGCTTCTTGGGAAGTGGAAGGGAAGAGGATAGTGGGAGGTGAAAGGGTAATAGAGGGGTGAACATGATCCAAATCCTTTATCCATGGGTACAACAGTGCCAGAATTAACTCATTAATCTGTGTAATTAACATGCAGAAAATAAAAGGGAATGTTTATTAAAATGAAAAGAAATTTGGAGTAATCTCAGTTATTACCTTATTGCAGTAATTACTCTGAAATCTTATTTCCCCACTTTATTTCTCTATTTTAAGCAGTTAATTAGAAGTGGTTAATTGGTAAGGAATGACTAATGATTTTCAAGGCTTAACTACAGCAACATAACCCCAAGAAGGTACTTACAAAAATTGGCGCTCTGAAAATCTATTTTCTTGAGAATTTTATGCACATACTTCTCTTGGAATATAACAATATAGCAAACATTTAAATGACAGAAGTAGCCTATATTAATTGAATAGATACTATCTTGTTGGAAAAGATGAGGTGTTGCTCAGCAACAGTGAGATGGGGCTTTAAGGCTGTGCACCATGTCTCTATTGCCAGTTTTTATGTCATCCTTTCTGTCTGGCATCACGTCCTGCAGCGTTTTGGATGGCACTACACCTGCCATTCACTAATATAGCGAGGTGGAGTTGTGGCTGACCCTTCAAACATTTTCAAGGAAGGCAAAAACAAAATAGAAGAAAGAATTTTAAGTGTGACATCTCATTCTGTGTCCCATGCAGATGCTTGAATATGGCTTCCTAGGGGCATATCTCTCAGTCTATACAGGCAAGTTCATTTGGAAGTGCTGTTTCAGGGTTGCAAGAAAATTCTGTTTCTGAAAGGTGAGACATTTTTCACTCACTGAAGTGGTTTGGTAGAACTCAGGAAAGTTCTTAGAGATGGTCCCAAGACCTACATCTACTTGATACTCTTGTTCTACTTCATTTTGGCCTGGCCCATTTCTAAGTTGGCCTGTGAATTTCTAGACAGCTCTCCTGTCTCCGCCTTCCCTCCCTCTATAGGAGTGCTGTGATTACAGACGCATGCCATTGTATCTGGATGCTTTTATGTGGGTTCTAGGAATCAAAGTCTTATTGTCAGGCTTTCGCAAGCAAATGCTGTTACCTACTGAGACCTCTTTGCCAGCCTGGATTTCTTAACCCCAGGCTCTGATTGAGTCAGGGGAAACTTTTTACTTTTCTGATCAAAATAAAAATGTATAAAATGGATGTGTGTTCAGAGAAGAAGGGTTTGTATTTTGAAATCTATGGGTCATGCAGTACTGTAAGGAAAACCAATCTTTCCCCAGTATCATTAGCTCCTATCATCATTATGTGAGGCAAAAAGACAAGTAACAGGAAGAAGTGGCCTACTCTCCCCGGCTGCATGCTGTCTCAGCACTGCCTTCTGGAAAGTCAAAGGCACCCTCAGCAGAAAACCATCTGTAATAAGAATATTATTAAGATGTAGAAACAAAAGCAAAAGCTCTGAGAATGTCACCAAAGGAACAAAGGCTTTTAACACAGCCTGATGCCCAGATGAGCAAGGAGTGAGGATGGTCCATACGGTTGATGAACTGAGGCAGGACTTGTAAAACTTCTCTGGACACAGGTTTGTGAGTCACATCAGGTCCTATGGCCACTAGTCCACCTTTTCTTGGAAATAGGAGTGAGTGATGGTTAATCTCTGTTGTCAACTTGATTGATGTGAGAAGTGCTGTGAGTTTGGTAAAGCAGACCTCTGTTATGAAGAAAGAAGAAGAGGAAGAGGAGGATGAGGAAGGAGGAGAAGAGGGAGGAAGAGGAGGAGGATGAAGGAGGAGGGGGAGGAAGAAGGAGGAAAAAGGCATTTCCAGAGAGGCCAAAGGATGAGGAAGGCCCATACTGAATTCAGTGGTAGGTAGTGCTGGGGTAGGAAAAAGTAACGAAATGACCGCTTAAGATTAATATCCATGGCTTAATAAAAAAAACTTCTCAAAGAGCTCCCCTAAAAACACTCTAGCAGGAGAATGTGGACAGACGAAGCAAACGGTATTTTAATGCATATGAACAGACACTGAAGATTGTTTTCTCATGTTCATATCTGAAGTTTGCTTTTATCGAGACTTTAGACTGTTTTCCCTGCCTTTGAAACACTCAACAATTACTTAACGACTGCACTGCAGGGCAAGGAAATGGGTAGGGCTCTTTGCGGCAGCACACCGAGTTCGGGACTAAATGACAAGGAGGCTTAATGGCCACCTAGGGATTAAAAGTCTCATTTCCTTACACAGGACAAGTTCCTCTTTGGACAGGATGCCGGTTTGTAAGAGGTGATCTAGAAAATGAGCCTTAGCCCAGGCTCACATTTGTCCCTTCAGTTCTGTCCCCTGGGCATTACTAACTAATCCCACCCCACTGGACAATGCCACATTATTTTACGTGGGATGGATGTATTGTCCTAATTTTAGAGTTGCAGAGATTTCTGAAGAGCAGGCTCCTGGGTGGGGCTCTATGATTGACAGGAGGTCTTCCTGCTCACTGAGCTGTTCTACTGAAACAGAAAACGGGATACAGTTAGGTGTGCATGATGTGTGGGGCCAGAAGATCTTTATGATGATCTTAACCCAATGCATGCCATATACATTGCTGTTGCCTTTAACATGTGCACAGTCCGACACAGGTTTATGCTTTAGTGTGCAGATTTGCGTCATCCAGTGGAGGGTCTGTTGGACAATGAAAAGGCTATATAGTCAGTGAAGATGCTTGACATGGGAAAGGGTACTCATGTCAAACCGCTTCTATTGCTGGATGCTGAATGGTACAGTTAGTGTTCTGACATCTCCTTGGAAGGGCAGGGCATGAATGCAGTGCTATCATTCATTTGTTCGGCAAATGATCGTTGAGTTCTGACTATGTGTCAATTGCTGTATTGATGCTAAAGTCAAGAAACACCTAACATGCAAGCTTAAGGACCTGAGTTTGGATTCATAGAACTCACATAAAAACCAAGAGGATGTGCCTGCAATCTTAGTGTTGGAGACACAGAAGGGTCCCCAGGGGCTTGTTGGAAAGCCAGTCTAGTCAAATCCGTCAGCTTCAGTTTCAGTGACAGATCCTGTCTCAAAATGTAAGGTGGCGAGCCATTGAGGAATCCAACATCAACTCTGGGCTCCACAGACAGGACCACACAGGGGCATACTCCTCACCCACGCACTCATATGCAAGCACACTCACAGGAATCCACTCCTTGTTCTAAGCACACCCCATTGTAACCCAGGTTGTTTTCTTAAAGCCACGTGCATAGAACAAACTTCATGTTCAAGCAAACGGCCATTTTGAGGCATGGGAGGCTTTTTAGAGGCCGTGGCCTAGAACTTGCAAGTTAAAGAAGGGAG